ATAGGATCTATAATCAGCAATACAATATTACAGCATTCAGGCAGAGTGAATCAAGGCATAAGGAGTGGAAATTTAGTCTTACTTCCAGGTATGTGTCAGGTTTTTTTTTTTTTGCTTTACACAGTGCTGGATCTCTACTTCCTTAATGAATGTTTAAAACTTCACGTATTACTTCTCTCGCTACAGAAAAAAGGAAAATATTTACTTTCCTAGTAGTGGCATTATGATGCTTGGTTGTCAAATACTCTAAAAAGGAGTAATACTTATTATTCCTCTTATTTTTAGTAGAACAGTATAGAACATAGACGAAGAGCCTAGATCCAGAAACTCACAATGTTTACAAAATTACTCACTGTAATACTGATCACATGGCATAATTACCAGGACCAAAAGGATCTGGAGAAGGCAGCATCTGCACTAAGTGGCTTGTTTTAAATATCTATTATTTGCTTTTCCAAATTTTGCCACCCTTTAACATGAACTCCAAAAATGTTTGTAACTAATAACAGTTAAAAATCTGTTCACAGCTCTGTGTGTTCTTTCCCAAGGGAAGGAGTCTCCACTGGGTATCTTCTGTGGAGGTCATGAATCTTCTCTTTGTTCCATGACTGCCAGCCGTGCAGTTTACATAGTCTGGGAGAAGGGGAAACATCATTCTGAACACCTTTTTCATATCTTTAGAAAGGAATTACAAAAGAAAAAAAGGTCAACAACTCAGACTGGAGCATCCATGTGAGTGGTTACAATTCTAAATAATAGTGTGCAGTAAATTTAAAATATCATCCCCTAAGGTGCCGCAACATGTCGCAGCTTGCCCCTAGTCTCTTTTCACTGCCCTGCCAACATCAGCCTTTGGGCACTTTCAATCTCTTCCTGATAGCCTTTTCTTCTGCCCCTCCCATGCTTCCTCTTTTATTTTGAATGTTCTTCCAGATAATTTGGCAAGCCTCTGCCTTCCTTCCAAGGACTCACTGCTGCAAGACTCCAGCACGTTTCAGAACTAAGTTAGCACAATCACCATGTTAAACGGTTAACTAAAAGCTGAAAGGCAAACCTGAGTCAAGTAATCAAACATAAACCTCTCTGCAAATCCTCCTACCCTTGTTCAGGTATCACCTCTTCAGGACAGGTCTTTATCCTATTTACTGAAGCAGCTAAAAGACTTCGGGATTTATGAGGAAACAAGTTGGGATGATTCCATTATCTGCAGCAGTCTTGCAAGGAAGGGGTAAAATTTCTTGAGAATTACCACAATTAGAAAGTAAAAAGAACCAACAAACACCAGAGAAGCATTTAGGCACACAACTCCCGTGAAACAAAAGTAGTATTTTGTGACAAATGCAGGCTGAAAGCAGCTGTTGTGAGCTTAACTCAACCACATGAATCAATTAAAACATTCAAAAGAACTCACTGGCACGCAGGGAACAAAGGACTTCAGCTCAGGATGAAGTGGTAAGACTTTCAGACTGTAGCAGAGAAGCAGAAATACAACCACCCCCCCCCCCCCCCCATTTTCTTCACTGAGTCCCTATTTGGAATATCCAGTGCAGCTACAAACGTCCATACTTGTCTTTCAAAGTACAAACGTCCATACTTGTCTTTCAAAGGTATTCTGTGTGTTTCCATTGACGAAAGATGGAGCAATTTGCTCTGTAGGAAGAAAAGCTGCCTGAAATGTGACAGTTCTCCTTGTTACTAAGTTTGTTTGTAGCAAGCATCATCAAAGAATTATCCTTCAGCTATTTCTTTTGAGAAGTGAAGCAAGAAATTACTGCCATGATGTCAAGTGAGTAACTATGGAGTGATCTGCTAATATAAAGAAGACACAGAAGCATAAAATAGTGCACAAGACTTGTCTTGGGGAAATACGTAATATCTGACATTAGGACGAGAGCTCCTCCTGTGCCTCCACTGTTCAGGCATGAAGACTGATGTAGTCTCTTCCCATACTTACAATTTGATACAAGCATTAGAGCAACACACGTTTCCTGCTCTAATATTCACACTGCACCTTGAGACAAAATCCTCTGGTTCTAGCTTACTGATGCCATTCATCTTCACCAGTTAAATTAAATCCATTTTGTACTCAGCTACCTAAAAATAGGAAACTGTTTGCATAAACAGCAGTAACATCATTGTTGAAGAGGACAACATTTCAAAAGCAAACCTTGAGTGCTCATATAAAATTCACATTGACTAGCCAAATTTTTAACAGATTCCTTGCAGTAATCATTTAAAGAAACAAATTCAACACGGTATGCATAGCTGCAGTGACTTCCTTTATCATCCCAGACTGAAATATCTCTATCATATAAAGGATTCCAAATTCTACATACAACTTCATTGCGGTGTAAACAATTGTTCAAGATGAAAGGGAATGGTGGGTGAAGCTCCAAATGGGTTTCTGATGTATGTCAATGAATATAAGTTGCATGCAAATCACTTAAGAAAGTAATTTTGGAAAGTCAGCAGAATAATTACACAAGTTACTTGTAATTAAACAAAGTAAGAACCAGGAGAAAGTACCCTTGCTTCAAATATCAGTTCATTACTGTCTGTACAGATGTGTCTAAGTAAATCTAGCTTTATGAACTGAGAGACTGAGCTGAATTATTACCATTCTTCACATGCTACAAATTAGTTTTACTGTTCCAAAAGTAAAAAAAGTTCTATATCTAGTTTTGCTTTGTAAAATGGTATCTTTTAGTCTCTTCTACTCATACCAGTTGCTAGTCATTGTACTCACCTCATCTAGTAGACTTAAATTTTCAGATAACTGTCTTCTTTTTTATTTTGACTGAAAAACATGCAAATACGGCGTGCACAATTAACCACGAACCAGCTCCAGTGAAACATTACTTTTGCTCTATTTAATGGTGGGAAATAGCTGGTAACAAGACTTCTATTTTAAATGCAAGTACTAGGCAATCATACTACATAGCTATTGTTTCTCTACGACAAATTATTGCACCTGCAATAATTCTAGCTAGCCAGAAAATCATGCCAAGCTAAACACAAGTGTCAGAAAAATCAAGAACCGGGGCGGGGGGGAGAGTTTGCACCGGACATCTTTTCATACAATGATAAAATATTTAAGAGTATGGTTTAACCATTCCTCAAGAATCAGTGAGTAACTCTGTGCTCCCATTTCACAAACAATTAAAACCCATTATTGGTAATATTACAACAGTACCAAGTGTTGTAGTGTTTTTACTGCATTTCACAATTTCTTTTTAAAAAGGGTTTTTTTTTCATTTAAGATCTGCCGTATATAATTTATTTCATTCCTCTTTCTTAACAGTCTGAAGCAGATTCAACTTCTTCAATTCTAAGAGGCAAAAAGGCAAATGTTTCTGCATCAGCACAGTACTAATGGAAGCCTTGTTGCATTATGGTGAAAAAAAAATCTACATTCAGTTTCTTAGAAATGCAGCAGTACAAAAAGTAATGCAAATTTTAGCTATGAGAGGATCTTCATTTTGCTCAACTAAAAAGCAGTCAGTAAATTACGTATTTTTACTCTTCAAAGAACAAAAGGGAACAGAAGGAGAAATTCACAGTAACAGAACACAATGTTTGTAAAGTTACTGCTGCACAGCTTAAATACGATCAACCAGCTTTTTCAGTTACACGTACTGCTTACAACCACACAGACCTGCATGCAGTTTAAAATTCAGCTTAAAAAAACTCCTACTATATCTATTACACAATATGAAAAATTTCTACCCACCACACTCATTTCCTTTACCATTGTGTTCAATTAGACTGTGATGCCTTACTTGCTCTCGATTGCACCAGGCTCCCTTCACTGGCCTCAAGGTTTAATGCAGCCCATTCACAGTACCACAAGTCCTGCCAATGCGATCCACTGGCACTGCTTCTTTGGGGTGAAGGCCCCAGCACAAGAAGCTGTGCACTGGTCAAAAGTCACCAGACCAGCCAGATCCTACATCCAAACAAAGCTATGGACAAGAGGAGTTCACGACTCACTTCTTAGCTAAGAGTAAGAAATGCAGTGATAGGAACGTATGGATAACTCAGCCGTCTGTACTTCATGGGTACAAATTCAAGCAGTGACACAGAAACCCAAACACTGAGCACTAAAGAAAAATTATTACTTTCATGTTGTTACACAACATGGTGAAGAAAAACAACAACAGAATTAAGTTCAGGTACTTTAGAAACCACAGAAGGGCTCCTGGTTAAAGTCTTTTAATTTCCATGAGGTAGAAAATTATCAAGTGTCTTCTTTCCCAGAATATATTAAGCAGGACAAATCTAGTTTAGTTTTTAATGCTGTTGAAAATTCTTTTGATAGCAGTTCATGAAGGGATACTCTGTCATGAGAATATACCCAGTTCCGTCCAGTCCAGTCATAGCGCTTGGGCCCACTAGAAAACAAAACACACAAAACTGTTAAGTACAGATTATTGCTGAGTAGCTGCTGGGAGCAGTATGCATAATGCCACCTGGAGAGCACCCAGGAAAAGGAAATAGACTGCATAGAGAAAAATGGGTGGGCAGTGTGGGGAAGCGGAACAGAAATGGCCAGGCCTGCCAGGAACTGCTGAGCCATCCTACAGATATATTTGAAAGGTGACAAGATGTATCAGTCATTCCTGGCAGACATGAACTCCTTCCCTTCCTGCTTTCTGCACTGAGTTCTCCAATTTCTTCCCCTTCTCCCTTCTTCCCTCACCCACATAATTTTCTTACACATAAATATTAAAAAGAACATTTGTAAAAGACTGGGTCAATGTTATTTACTAATTGTTACAGCAGTATTACATGCAGATATGCTAAACAGAGCAGAACACAGACCAACACTCTCGCTTTCACTGCAAAGGCAATAAAGGAATTTGCTAACTGAAAGCAAACATATTCCTGTGCGGGAGATTTGTCTTTAAAAACCTGATGTCCCCCGTGCAGTCGTGTAATTGCTGGCAGGTGAACTTGATCCTTCCAGCTTACAGTTAGGCATCAAGAAAAACTCAAACAGGATTCCACTCCAGACCTTCCTATCCACCTAATTCTCGGCTTGTAAAACAGGAGCAACGATTGAAAGGCGCTCATTGCTGTTAACACTGGCTAGAGAAGCTAAGAAAAGAGAAAGGACTGGAGTGCTTGGCACAGCAGGGGGGCAGGGAGGAACCATCCCTCTTACCCTCGGGCTTGTACTCCCAGGAGAAAATGCCTTGGAACTTAAACCATCCAGTACTCAAGTCTGCTAGGAGGCAGACCATCCCATTGTCTACAAACAACAAAAACACTAGCCGAACCTTGAATATTCTGAATTATTCACAATACTCAAAGGAATAACTTTCAGACCACTAACCAAACTATCAGAAGCCACAAATGCAAAGGTAAATCAAAAGGACTACCAGCTTCCAGAGAAATCTCATTTGCTTTATGTAAACTGATAACTGTTCTGAATCAAGATTAAGTCTCCGGTTACTTTATTATGCATTTCTCACTTTGTCCTTACAGTAAAAAACATGGTAACGCTCCTACAAAATGACAGAACCGGCTGAAACTGTTCATGCAAGTGAAGCTAGGACAGGTCATTTAATCGACATATGTAGAGAAGAAAAGGCACTGATAAGTTATGTGAACTGTTTTTGAACATTTTTTAGTAAATATCAGTGATACCATTAACATGTCAAATAACTCAGTTCTCTGAATCTTCAAAAAGGTGTATAAATATGATTTTTCTCCTTTAAATATATCATTTCAGAAAGGATCTTTTGAACTCTTAACAAACGTCTCAAAAGGTTAAATACAGAGTAAATAAAAAGATATTCAGACTTTCCAGGAGAAATATAAACAATACGTGAGAAGAATTAAATAGCACATGAAGGCATTATTAGAGATACTGCATAATGTTTAAAAAGCCTTTTTTTTTAAAGGAGCTACAAAAAATTAATGCAACCACACTAATGGTAGGTTACACACTTTTTTTTTAAATTGTGAACTAAATAAAGCTTTACAAACACAGACTTAATTTCACCTGAGTGTATGCAAGTAGAGCAAACTGAAGGTTAAAAGGATTCAAGAGAATTGCTCTTTCTCCCATCTGAAGCAACTGTCTTCCTCGGGCTATGGTCATAAAGACTCAAAAATTCTACGTTTACTGTACAACTTTCCCAGACATAGAATTCAACCTCTTCACCCCCCATCACTGGTAGCAATGTTCATTTCTTTCACTTTTCAGAACATTGCATATAAGAAACATGTCACTCCAGATCATATAGTATTTGCTGAAGTTGCAACACGTATTTTCAGAAATTAGGAAATAAGTGGACTTGTAGCATTTTCTTCCAGGAAACATCAGTGTTTACTGTATTACCAGTAAGGACGCACAAAACCAAATGTTTGTTGGTGAATCATATCTCATCACAGACACTGAAAAATCCCATCAGAGAAAGTTCAGTTTGTTTATTTTATTGTGAGTTTTCCCAAACTGCAGGAGCAATCAAAAAGTGAAAACCACCGATATTTTCTGCAAATCCAGTATTCTGAGCTAGGGTTGGCTCCAAACACATCTAAACTCTCTGACTTCTGGTTTGCAAAAGCAGATGAAAACTACTTATGCAGAATCAAGGTTCTTGATTTATACTTAACACAAAAAATATGGAATGAACAACTTATGACACACAGCCTGCATCTGTCTACACATAAATAAAAAGGTTTGCTTATCTGCTAGGCCTCTGCCTTAGCAAGTCACAGCCCCGTTAAATAATTATTTAAGAAGAAAAAAGATTCTGGGAGGAGAAAGGAATTAGTAGTAGTGAAAAATGGCTAACCTAATACACTATGCCAGTACAAAAGTGTACCATGACAGAGTTCAAATTTTCTTCAGGAAAATTTTATTTCCTATAATTGTAATTTCCTCAATATTGTTTATCTTAAAAATCTTAAATTCCACCAGGCTTATTTTTTCCACATGAGTCCTACTACGAAATCCTATCACTGCAAAACCATTCCTGGTTTAGCAATTAACATTTTCTTTCTGAGCAACCTGCAAGAGGTATGCCTGCACAGGTATTGTGAGTGCTTATTGTTTCCAGCTAGCTGGTTCCTTTACCAGTAGCACTGTTGGACTCCCTCCGCTCTTTCTCCGGGACAGTGGAGATAACATAAATTTTGGGGGAGGCAGCTACAACACTTTCCCACACATCTGGCTGCCCTCCTAGCTCAAACCAACCAGAAAACCTGGAATGGATCAAACCACAGTATTTGGAAAGGTAGAGGGAACTGCTAGCCAAGGCTCCCACAAAGCACAGGAGCCTGACAAAAACCACCATTTAGAGAGCACATAAACATATAAAGCAGGAAATCCCACAAGCTTAAAGAGGAAGGAGCCACCCTGTTTAAATACAAAGAGTGGTTTAGATCATAATATTATCATCTCTCTTTTTCCAGCAGAAGTTTTGTTTTGTTCTTTAATCATGACTGTTTATTTTTCCTATGAATAGGCTATACTCCCCTGTATAGTGGCTTTGGCCTGTAACAGGATGTGAAAATTCTGTATTACACATTCACCGGATTAATTAGGGCATATTAGTACACCGTACTGCATCACAAACCTCCATAACAAACCTTCATCACACACTTAAAATGGATCATGTTTTGAATAAATAATGAAGGAAAGGGTTATTTTTGAAAAGGATATTACCTAGTCCACGGCAGGCTAAGAAAAAGGGAAAACGCATTTCAATCCAGTCTCCAAGCATTACATATAACACATAACTTACCTAGTGGGTGAGGAGAGCCAAATCTGCCGGTTTGGTGTTTGCTTATTGATTACATATGTTCCCATGTCTCCACCTAATTTAACTGTTAGAACTCCACTCTTAAATCACAAAGGAAACAAATAGATGAGAAATTAAGTAAAGTTTGTATCCTGTTACTTGACAAGAATTACATCATCTACAATAGGCAAACAGAAACTCACACCCCTGCATCATATTCTCAAAAGTTTTCCAAACAATAATAGCTTGGAAGAGTTATCATCAGATGTCAACAACTTCATCTCACACCTGTGACAACCTGCATATCTTCAAGCCTGACCTAGACTTTAAACCCTCCTGGACCGGGTTTGATTTAGTGTGTTTGTACTATTCACAGGAGCACTACTTAAGCAATACTTTTCAACTTTGACCTGCCATCTTGGAAGGACGGCCAGTTCATTTTGCAAAGACTGTAACATCATAACCAGTAACAAACCTTTCTGTTCATGAACAATGGAGAAACGGTGCAGTTCAAACTCAAGCAGCTTTACGTGCCATTATTGAATTCCTGAGCTGCGCAGGCTCACCTAACTTTTCTTTAAGTAACTGTAACAGCTTCCAAGTGAATAAACAAAACTCATTGTCCTGTAATTCTGATGCATTGCGCACACGCTGAATTATTCCTCAAGAATATTTCACATCTAAAGTGAGCTCTGCTTTGTTTCAGTTTTGCCAACTTCAGACCATTTTCCTAGTGAGCTTTTTCTTCCCCTCTTACTCACATTTCTTAGCCACAACACGATTCATATTTCTATGGCATTTTCAGAAGCAGATTTTGAAGAACAGCTCTAACTCTGATGAGACTATTTCTATCCTAATTTGGAGAGTAAAAGAATGACACTACTTGGATTTGTTTAGCCTGCAGATGATCTGAATTACGTCAGTTAAAAAGGGCATCTCTACAGAATATAGTTTGATGACTCTGCTAATCGGTTACTCACATTCAATTTATAGTTTCCCAAATACATCACGCCCTGCGGCGTGACACAGCACATTTCTGAATCCATACTTTCCCCCACCTTAGTCAGAAGATGTTATTGTTAGAGCAGCTATTATTGCTAGGGCGATTTTCGAGGTATAAACACTTAACTGTGGGAAAAAGATATTTTCATTTATGACTACCTACTGCCTGCAATCCTACTCGGCAGCACAGGCAGCAGCTTAGACCTTCCTTCCCCTATACAGTAATCCAGTGTTATTGGTTTCTGACATATCTCCAGAAGCATCAGCAGTGAAGTGATATTCTCAAGGTTTGAATTCTTTACTCCAGTTTCAATACTGTTGCTGTGCTTGATAATGGATTTACTGCTGTTTGCAATAAAATGGAAAAATAAAAGGCATCCCTGACTAACATTGCCATCGGATTGTTCTGCAGGTTATAACAACTGGATATTGATTTCGTCTAAAGAATGACAAAACCAGACTACTTCTCGACTGCCACGAATTCAATCTTTACTGTATCTGAGTGGTCTCTGACCTGTAGAGATACAACAGAGTAAGAGCATGTCGGGATCATTAACCCTGAACGGCTGCACAAAGGTGTGAGTATTCTTTTACATGCTAGTTAGAGCCACATGTAACAGTTCAGTATGATTAATGTCATGCCTGTACATTAAAGAAACACTGTAAGCAAATAGGTTTCAAAAGAGTTAACAAAAAAGTTAAACCATTGCTTTTATTATGTGTCAGCTGCTGGTGAGTGTTGTTGCTCTATCATTACAAATTAAATAAAGGTTAACTTCTAATGCTGGGTTTAACACCTTTACCCGCACACTTCGCAATGCTTCTGAAATATCAGAAAACACATCTGGAAGTTTTAAGGACTTAAAATGCAAAACATTTTAACCATATTTTGAGGAATACCACTGCATGTGTTTTGTACTACTGTACGAACGCTTGCTAGTTCCTGGTAACAAGAATATTCTTCACATGAGATTTCTTCCATCTGCGCACTACGATATAAACTGCACAAAGAAATAAAGTTCGTAAGAATTCACAGCAGTAGCCGACCTTTATCAAGTTCGCCACCTTGTGGCTTGCTATAACAGTAGCTTTTTTTCTTTGGAATTAACTTTGGTAAACTTGGCACCATTTAAGCTTTTACTCTTCACAGAAACTACTACATATTTTCAGGTAATCGTGTCGCCTATGCAACATGGAAATACTGGTGAAATATGGGTGTGAAAGTAATTCCTCAGAGCCTCACAGTGAGCAAATATCAAACACAATCCGCTGTAAATTTACAAGAGAGAAAATTATGACATGACTTATGACCTACATGTAATGAAGGGTGTAAAAACATTAAAGGGAGGAAATGCTTATCTTTTTGATATTTTTTGTCTTCAGGTCTTTAAACTAGCCTAACAGACACTGAAGTGCTAACGTATACTAAACAGTAGTGGTTATAGTGGTTAAATAACTCACTGCTATTCACCAAGTAAGTAATTAGCTATCTCATTAATTCTATATGTAATTAAAGCAACGAATAATATTTGCTGAGTGCAACTATAGGGTTCGACTACCAAGAAGTTCTCTTCTATTCTAGTCATATGAAATAAAGAACGAATGTTATAATCATGCAGAGTTACACATAAGCAGGTCTGAAAGCTACAGGAATTTTTTTGCACAGTGCAGCCCAGACCATCTGGTGCAATATCCTGGAGCATAAACACACATCTGACAGGGCTAGAAACAAGTAACCTCCTCATGGCAAGACACGAACAGAGAGCACCAGTTAGGCAGTTTATGAAAAACCTGTGTTGCAGATTGCACGGTAGGGAGAGACTGTTCCCTCCTCCAAGTCATGCAGAGGGCTGTAGCATATGACTAACCTCAGGAATTTTATATAAAACTAATAAATTCCTTAAATAAATAGAACTGTCTTTTGTGATAGGAGTCTGCCAGTCCTGTAAAAGAACATGCGTAGGGGGTCTATTAAACGTTCCACCTGTCAGGCTAGCAGCTTCCCACTGTCGTCCCCTGTGACAGCAGTCTTCGTCCCATGCATACTCTCTTCTCATTTTTGCAAATCATAATCCAAACATTGCATGCCCTGCAGCTCCTCTCCACCACAGGCTGAATCATCAGGAAAAACAGGTACTCTGCCTGGTCAAGATAAATGCTGCCTCTCAGTATGCAGGCCAATCAAAGAAGCTGCTCTACCAACTACACCTAACATATACGTTACATGTTATATAGGCCTGTCCTTGTGTTTTTCTTGAGGGAATTGACTAGTGGCGTCAGACATGAAAGTGAGATTAGAAAGTTTTAGGGACCACCATGAAATCATACAACAGTTTCTGCCTCCTCTAGTGCTGGTTTATTACTCTATAACATGACCTTGTTTATACCCGACACATTTTCATTTTCAAATTATGTAAGAGCAAGTGTTACTTTTTACCAAAATAGCTGCTACAGTCAGTAAAACAAAATGTAAGAATATTTTTTAAAATTATTTTTAATAATTTTTAATATTTTCAAATATTTTTATTTTTTAGTACTAAAATAGTAAAAACTCACTATATTTTAAGCGTGGGCACTAAGGTGACTAGTTTAAAATTCTCTTTCAAAGATGAGATCTGCAATCATTATAGTGGTAATAACAGAAACTTAAAAACATACCCCTAAAGAGACATCGTAGTCTTCCGGGGTAAAAGGCTTATCTGTGAGATCCTCAAAGAAATCTGCTAAGGAGTCCAGTGTTTCTTCAGCCAGTTTTTCGTAAGTGGTCTCATCTAAACAGCTGCAAATGACATACAATCCCATAATTAGAAATAAAAGCTTTTTCTTTTGGAAAGCAGTATTTCTCCTGTAATAAAAACATAACAAGACTGCCATCTTGGAGGAAACAGAGACGCTCGCGTGAAACAAGAAGTCAGGTCTCTTTAAGATAATGTAGGTAACAAAGCACCTCACAAGCAGAGGTAGAATTTTGAAATTTTGGTACCAGAGATCACTAAATGAAGAATATGTACTTCTTTCCTTAGACATACGGACCGCTGAGTACTAGGAGGACAGAGTTAGTTCAAAATTAAGCATTTTCATAGAAGGACTTTGCACAAGAATTTTTTAGTTTTGAAACTGTGAATACATACAAACGTTTCTTGTACAGAACATATGCCATCTGATTATAAGAAAACAGCTGTAGCTAAAAGCAGAGACTTAGAAACATCAACATCAGTATCAAATGACCTATCTACATAGGCACGTGAGAACAAAGTCTAGATCAGTTTCTTTAACCAGATGTCATTGAATCACATTATTTTTGCATCCACATCAGTGTCGAGTTTTAACAGTGCGTATCTGAGTGTGTGTCTCTAGCAACACATAATTCAGTGAAAACGTTTCCGTTTTCACTAACGGATATGGCAACACAACATAATTACAGTCACTATGAACTACAGTAATGTAATATCTTTCAAATGATAACACAGAAAGTTTCCTACTAGGGAACTACTGAAATACACCCTACACCACCCGTGCGAGGGCCACCAGACCACCTGGGGAACACCCAGGGGGGTGAAGGACTGAAGACCTTCAGGTGAGGATATAGGATGCAATTCAGCTACTTAATAATAAGAGCCATTTTAGACAGATGCACAATACTTCTCGGCCATCCAATCGCTGCATCAGAAGGGGTGAAGTCTCCTCAGGTACTGTGCAATGTCATGCCAGTCAAGGTAGAAATGTCATGTACCTTAAGGCATGTAAAATGCTACTGCTTAGACACCTATGTTTAGCTACGTGAATTATTTCCTAAGTGACTTCCCAAATTCATCCAAAATGCTTTCCCACATACCTATACTTCTCTAGACCATCATATCAACATTTACAACACATTAGTTTTACAGACTATTCTGTCTAGCAATGATTTATTTTAAAATGCACTACCAATATTGTTGTACGAACAGCTCAATAAAATTTACCTTTTGTTGTTCAGAGTTCCTGTGTTTCTTAAATTCATAAAGTGAACAGTCCTGCTCTTCACCTTTAAGGCATATTCTAGCTGCTGTAGAGAAGACTCCTAACATACAAAATGCAATTAAAAGTTAAAAAGAAAAGAATTAAAGATTACATATTTGTCACATAAATAGATTCTTGAAGAACTTTCCATCCTCAAGTAAAATACTAATATTACAGAGCCAAAACAGAACTATGCAGCTATAGTCCTGGGATGGCCCAGGCCATCTAATATCCTGGCCTTCTGCAATAAACAGAAAATGAGAAAAAAAAAAGAGAAAAATGAGAAAAATATTTTATTCATGGAATAATGAACTAGGAAAGAGAATAACTTTTTTCTTCTGCTCTCCCAGAGAGTTACTGAGCAACTTCGCATCACTGACACAGGCCAATATTTTCACGAGCGTCCACTTATCTCAGATACTTCACTATGTGCAGTTTGTGTCTCGCTGCTAGAGGTCACCAGTATTTTCAGAGCTAACTTACAGCCCACTTTTGGGGGCTGCAGATCACTTCTGCTTCAAAAAAAAAAAAAAAAGGAGTTTCAGTTATAATTTCTGTTTAAAAAAAAAAAAAAGCTTGAAAAAGACCGATGAAAACCACAGGAAAAAGCTGCACCAACACACCT